CTGGCAAAGGACTGCAAAACTCTAGGGATGGCTATTCATCAGCCCTCTGCCTGTCGGAATGCAAGAAGAATTTGAATGAAGGTTCTAGAGAAGGTGACTAGGGCTGGTAACCCAGGAAGGCTGGGCTCCATAATTATCAGTTCTGCTCAGTAAATATCCAACATGAGATGACCCTCAAATAAGAAACAGGTATTTTAGAAACAGTGGCCAGGCATGATGACTCACACCTGTAATCCCAGCAATTTGGGAGGCTGAGGTGGGAGGTTCCCTGAGCTGGGAGCTCAAGACCAGCCTAGGCAACATAGCGAGACCTCATCTCCACAAAAAGTCAAAAAATTAGCTGGGCGTGGTGGCGCGCATCTGTAGTCCCAGCTACTTGGGAGGCTGAGGTGGGAGGATTGCCTGAGCCCAGGAGGTCGAGGCTGAAGTGAGCTGTGCCACTGCACCCAGCCTGGATGACAGAGGGAGACCTCGACTCAAAACAAACAGTGGATCTTGAAGTGATTGCTAACAAGACATCAAGTGCCACTTAAAGATAGAGTTAGTCACAGAGGGTGGGGAAAAGGCCACATCTCTGTGACAGCCAAGGCCCTAAGACCTTCCAGAGAGGCCGAGGGGACTCAATGCTTTGATTCAGGAGAGCCAGAAAAGGGAATGCATTCCTTTCCCCAGGGATTTTCCAAGCTCAAGGGAGAAGGACAGATGGCCAAGTAGGCTTTGGAATAAACTGTTGACCCCAAGGAATTCTGCCCTGATAAAGTCTAAATGGCTGAACTAGCAATGGCTCTCATCTGGTTTGGCCAGATTTATCCTAAACTCTAGACTCTAAGACAAGAATTGGGCTGGTGCTATGAAATATCCAAGAAGAAATTCAAGGACGAGAGCAGGGTGAGCCCCTTCACCCTTCAGAGAAATACCAGGGAACAACCACTGTGCCCTTCAAGGTACCATGGCTCCAAAACCCTCCCTCCAATGGTTTGTTGGTTCTTATTTTTTAACCCCCGCTGTGTCCCGCCATGATTAATCAAGCGCAGCAAAGCATTTCTATCAAGGAAACTGAGTTTGCATACAGTACTTGTTTTATAAATAGCGCCATAAGAGAAATGGATGGAAAAGGAATTCAGCTGTATTCCAGAGACAGGAGGAGTCCAGATATAGAAGAGGAGAAAACTGGGCACAGTGGCTCATGTCATTTGGGAGGCCAAGATGGGAGAATTCTTGAGCCCAGAAGTTTGAGACCAGCCTCGGCAATGTAACGGGACCTCATCTCTACCAAAAAAAAAAATTTTTTTTTTATTGAGTTGGAGTCTCACTCTGTCGACCAGACTGGAGTGCAGTGGCTGCTCCCAGCCACCGCAGCCTCGACCTGCC